TGCAGTGTTGACAGCAGACCAAAACACTGCGGTGCCAAGGAAGTCGGTAGTTGTGCAATCTGCAGCTTGCTTGCGATGTTTCCTTCGACAGTCAGCCCAACCACATAGACACAGCATTCGTAGCCCTTTGACGATGCGTCGCAAAAACAATGTAGAAACAATGCTTTGAGACAATTCGTCACGGAATACTTGCCACCACTGACTTTCTTGATCTGGAAATTCTTCATCCCAAGTGAGCCTTGCCCAGAATCCTTGGACGAATATTCGTGAACTGATGAATACTGGCCTCAAGAGCCCTAGTGGGTCAACTAGCCTTGACATTTCAGACACCACAGCCCGTTTGGTTACAACATGTAAGTTCCCCAGATGGGGGCTTGAAAACTGAGTTGATCCGTAGATGGATTCCAAATTAGTCCAAGTGCCATGGTTACTGAGCCACGTTCAATTTCCGTTAGACCAAGCCTTCCGCAGAGTTCGTTGGATATGTGACGCAACACGTTCGAGTTGTTGGCACACCACGTACGAAGGTAAATCTTCCTTGGGCGAGAAGTTCTTGTAGTTGACGACATGTCTGCGCGACTTCCTCTAGATCGTCGCCTCCAGCAAGGGCATCATCCACATAGAAACGCTGGTGGCAAGTGGATATCGATCTCCATCATCCTCGGTGAGCTTGTTCAATACACGTACAGATTGATAAATGGAACCGGCTAGGCCATATGTCACGATCTTCAAGTGATAATGCTTCAACGGTAGTGACGGATCCAAACGCCAAATGACCGACAGGAATTTTCGATCATCCGATCTTCGATCTGACCATGGGATTTGCTGTTTGCATCGAATACGACCCTGGTTGTTGTGGTCGTGCTTTCGGGCCATCGTACAGCATGGTGCGGGAGATAAAACTGCGGGCCCGTGACGCGATAACACTCTTCCATATGCCCCAGCTATAAATATTCCTCCATAAACTGCGTGTACTCCTCACGCAGGTCGTTGTCCTTGGCGAAACGTCTCTCCATCATCGAAAATCTGTTCACAGCAGGCTTGCAAAAATCGTCAAAGAATGGGAGTCGAGATTCTCTAAGCGGCAGCCGTACCTCGTAACGTCCACTATCGTCACGGGATACAGTTCGGCTAAAATGGTCTTCTATATATTGCTCTTCCTGTGTTAGCGCTCGTTCTACATCGAAATCGTCGACCTCCCACATACGCTCCAGCTAGGCATTGAGATCTTGATCAGCAGCTACGTGGCATGCCACCGTTTCCAGCGCTTGAGATGTGGCCTTTCCACAGACCACAGACCATCGGTTGATGAAGACCTACAGGCTTTTGAGTGTTCTCCGCTGTTACACACCACGTCTCGTTGGCGTATAACAACACAGATTTCACGTTCGAATTGAAAATTCGGATTTTGGTGCGTTGACTTATCTGGTTGGATCTCCATACGTTTCGTAAACTCGCAAAGGCAGCCCTAGCCTTCTTGATTCGTGCACCCATGTCGCTCTTGGTCCCGTCGTCCGACGCTATTTGGCTGCCAAGATATTGGAAACTTTCAGCCTTCTCCACTGCTTGCCCCGCTACCGTAAAGTTGGAAGGGTTGCCCGTGTTGATACCCAACGATTTGGTCTTGTTGACGTTGATGGTGAGACCCACCGCAGAGGAGCGTTCGGCTAGGTCATTGAGCTTACTCTGCATATCAGAGCGCCGTTGTGCTAGTAGAGTAACATCATCAGCCAAATCGAAGTCGTTGAGATGTTCCATGGTGATAGGCTGCTAAAGCAGCCCACGGTTCGGTACACGGTCTATTGCACCTACCGGACAAGGCTCCGTTATGCAGAACTCTGCACATACTGCGCTTCAATGAGGTTGACGATTTTATCCGGGACTCCCTTGCGTCTCAGGGCGCCCCACAGATTCTCGTGATTGAGACGGTCAAAAGCTTTTTCGTAGTCAATGAATACCAAATAAAGGGACTGTGGTGCGTTCGCGTCCGAATACTAAATCTCTGTTTGAGATGTTGTGGTTGGTGTTTTTTTAGTGAAGTCAAACCGATTGTTTGGGCTCAATTTGTTAAACGTCTTACACTGGACCAAAGGATGAGCTACTCCACATTTTCTGAGGCAACTTGAAAGGAGATAGTTTTGGATTTCACGGGTTTTGCTTGTAAGGTCGAAGATGAGCCACATGGCGTAGCGTTGAGTACGCGATCTCTTTCGAATGAACTCAAGCAGATCGGTATATTGAGGGATTTCTTCATCTTTACATTGGGTTTCCCACTCAAGGAGAGATCTCTCGGTGAGTAGGCTGCTTAGACGCTCCATTAGAAATTAATTCCAGTGAGCATCCTCATCCTCGAGCTTGTCGAGGATGCCAACATGGTTATTAAACTCGCCAGCCAATTCCGACAAGACGCGAAATAGTGCTGACATGTGCTGCTTTACTAGATAATTTGTATTTTCATATCGGCCACAAATAGTCTTCTGCGGTGATCGCAATGGACGAAATGAGGCGAGACGCATCGCTTTTCAACGCGAAATACCAATCTTTGAATTCTTGGTGCGATTCCGCGAATTCTTCTGCTCATCGTACTCGTACTGCTCATCGTACTCGTACTGCTCATCGAACTGTTTTATCCGCTTGACTTATTCCTCCGTTGCAAAAGCGTTATGTGATGGAGAGATTTTTTCCGCAAAGCCGATTTCTTCATTTCAACCGCGCATAATAACCAAAGACTACCCACCTGCAAAGTGGATTGCTAACAACAGTCCACGATCTATCCTTGCCATGTGAGGTTAGGTTAGGCTTTAGGTAGTGATGAAACGTCGCTAGAACTATTCCACAGACGCAGTCAGTAATGAGCAAAAGGCGGACACACATCTTTTGCCTGTAGACTTGAAGACATACTTCAAGTCTCCGCGTACATCGTACAGGTTAGGGAAAAGGTATGCGTTTGACTTTGTACTGTCGCATTAATGGCCCTTCGTTCATTTTCCACTTCTATTCAATTTTCATACTGCCGTACTCTAACGGAACTATCCACCTACCCTCTTTTAAAATCATTCTCTAGCTAATAAATAATCACACTAAAGCTTCATGTTAGATAGTATTTCCAACCAACTCTATTAGTAAGCTTTTGGCATATTGATTTCATTCACCTTCAATACCATAATCGTACTCTCGCACCTTACGCTTAACTCCACTCATTAGGTTCTGTACAACATCTGGCTGCAGCTTCTTCTGTACGGAAACCCAGGTTTTCTTCATGTCTTCCTCAGATTAGACCTCCTTGTGATGCTTTCGTAGTGCCTGCTTCATAATAGCCCAGTATTTTTCGATAAGCCTTAGTTCCGGTGCGTTGGGGGGGGGGGGGGGGGGGGGTTCATGTCCTTAGAAACGAAAGTGATCCCGTTGGCTTCGTACCACTCCAGGACAACATTTGAATAGTGGCACGAAGCCACTCGTGTTGCTTCAACAGAGGAAGCAGACGCTTCTGTAGACACTCCTTGAGGTAGATCACCCCGTTTACAGTCCCGGTAGTAACGAACGGCGCACTCCTTTTGCCACATGAGCAGATCGCTTGCCAAATCATGTATTTCTTGGCAAACTTTGAAAGTTTCAGTTTCCTTAACTTGTGCTGGGCGGTGACGAACAGTAGCCCCAGAAGCTGCCAGAAGTCCGCCTTGACGTAAGTCTCATCATCCATGATGAGACAATGAGGCTTCGTCAGCATCTGGGTGTACAGTTTCCGGGCCCGTGACTTTCCCACCGTAATTTGCCGTTCGTCACGACTTGGAGCCTTCTGCACTTATACGCACTTGTACGTATGCAGTCCCTCCCGGTCCTTGGCTCTCTGAACGAAAGACTTGGACATATTCAACTTTTTGGCCACATCCCTGACCGAAGCATTGGGATTCTACTTAAAGGCTTTCACGACACGCTTGTGATCCTGATCACTAATAGAACATCCATTCTGACCGCATTTCTCCTTCCGTTCGATGCTCAGAGTTTCGTAGTAACGTTTAATCACACAATTCACCGTTGACTGCACGACTCCGAGTTGTTTTCCGATGTCCCGATGAGTGAGTTGCTTTTCGGGTGACACCATTTTTTTTCCAACTTTCGAAAAATTGACAGCGATAAAAATACAGTGAAAACAATACACGCTAAACTACTTCTACCCAAATTTTCAAGAGAAAATACCCAATGGGTAATTTTCTACAGTGTTTTTTCCGTGATACAATTTGATGTGGGACACCCTTTACTATGAATCAAAGACCGCAAAATATCGGCTTCCTATTATAGGGTTCAATAATAAATTCGCCTAACCACAATTATTAGGTGTTTTCGGGACTGAGATGAACAAGCCGATGGCTGAAAGTCTCTTTAATAAAGAAAGATAAGATAAGATAAGTGTTTTCGGGAAACTGTTATACAATCTGAAATCCAGTTCAACAAAATCAAGAAACTGAAATCATATTAATTTGTAATCAATTCTGCTCCAAGCATACTTAAAAACGCATACTGGCGCTTGTCAAATAATTAATTTAAATTTGGCTAAACACGGAATATCAAGTATTTGCCATTTGTACAAAAAATGTAGTTGTAGCTTTTAATTGTTAAATTTATTTAATATCTAAGCTTACATGTAACACTGACTGATCCGTGACAAAAATACACTGATGAATTTAAAACGCCATGATGAAACACAAATGGATGTAAAATTCAATTTATAGATTTTAAAAACTTTTATGTGAAAATTGAGTTTAATTGATGTAGAACTTTTCGTAAATGGAAATTTCTCTTATTGTCTATTTCAGTACCCGTCTAGTGTAAACTGATCAATCTGTACAACCTCCAGTTGAAGATGTTGTAAATTATCTTTACGACTTTTTAAGTTCTACACTAGCAATGACAATCAGATTAAAAAGTTGAATTATAACACCCGACATCGAATTTTATTATGCAAAATGCAATCACAACTCAACATATTCTTCATTTCGCAGGTGACGGAACGTACATCACAACTCCAATCGCTCAGCTGAAGGAAGCCTCGGAACCCGAAACGCCAAAGACTCAATAAAAAGCAGAATTTCATTTCACAACCCATCCCTACCTAAATAATGCTCTTTGATCGAATCTAAGATTAAATAAAGTACTATAGGTACACAGCCTGCGGCTGAAAGTCTCTTCGATAAAGAAATCTAATCTAACCTAATAGATACACAGAAATTCAAAAATCATATTAAAGCCAAATACATTGCGTCAACAGAATTACTCATCCGAAATGCTCTACTTATCATTTTCAGACATTTCTAACAAGGAACCATGAAGATCACGCAAGCACACACACACTGAAAACTTCAAAACTAATCAAAATTAAAATTAAATAAAAACGAAACCTACACAACGTGTTTGTTGATTGGGGTGAGGTACACACAGAAAATGGAGAAACCCAATTCATTTCAACGCGAAATTCATCGAAGCAGCAAAGATAGCAAAACAACAAACTAAAAAATCAGCCAACAATGGATGGATCGGTGCTGCGACGTAATGAATGATCTCCGTCGTGCACACAAAAAATGTTACGTAACAGAAAATGTGATTCCATCTCAGCCCAACTCAACTCCAACTCTAGTCTAGTCGACGGCCACCACACTGCACTCTCTAGCTGTGGAATGAGGTTAGTCACTCTCCGGCCGTTGGTCACCTTTTTGTCGAAAACAAAACAAAAAGTGACGGCGTGATCAAAACTGAGCGACCTTGATGGAAGATGAAAATTTTAACAATCTAAACAAAGGGAAGTGTGGAATGGAACTTCAGCTAGCTCGTTCGTTGGCTAGTGGTTACGGCCAACAGGTTTCTAATTGATAAATTGCAAATATTTTAACTGTCACTTCCTAAGAACAAACTGATCCATTATCAGGCGATCTACGAACGAATCCGGTAGTAGTCTTGAACATTGCTCAACAGCGCTGACCCTCATCACCTCGTAGCTTTAGCGGCAATAAAAATCTTTGCAAAGAGCACCGATGAACCATTCGTCGAAAGAAATGTGAAATTTGCTTATGGCGTTTTATAACAGAGGCATCCGACCTCAATTTGATCCATAGGCATCGACATCGGAGGGGCATGGTACTATAGCCCATTCGCGACTGTACGAGGCGTGTAGCTAGTTAGTTAGTTTTCTTTTTTTAAAGAGGCTTTCAGCCCTTGGCTGGTTACACGAGGTTTGTCCAATGTCAGCAGCAAATCATCTTTGACAAAAGGAATGGAACGTAAACAATATTCACGATGGAAAATTAAGTTCGTCGCGATGGAAAAATATGTTATTCGATGAAGAGTATTGTCGTTACAGCTGGAAACTGGAAAAACCCACTAGAGAAATCGTCATACATGGTATCGGAAGTAGTGCGGATTATAGCGCTACATTGTGCAATAGGGTGTTTCATTTTGAAAAAAGTGATGAATTTTTGATAGGCCACCCTCCAGTTCGATTCATAGCCCCAAAATATGAACCTGTGCAAAAAATGGTAAAGATTGATGAAGGTTTAGAGGTCGCGCCAATGATTTGGATTTTGTATGGAGATTTTGGTGAATTAGTATGGGAAATTATTGATTTTCGTTTACATTGCTCTAACTTTGGTTGTAGTTGTCCAAACGTTGAAAAAAAAAAATATGTGGTTGTCATGACAATGATCAACAAGCCTGTTGTTGTTGCGATGAAATTGGCGTTGTTGCCTTGTACATATTCATCTGTCAATTTACCCTATTTTGCCATTTTTTCACATTTTTATAATTCTTGATACGCTGCAAAACTGAGCGTAGCAACTGTAGGCTTTTTGTTTATTGCCATAGCAATAACATACTAAATTTTTTCGACATTTGGACAAGTAGAAGCAAAGTTATAGCGATATAAGCGATTTTTTAAATTCTTCCATAGTAATTCCCATACAAATTTCAAATCATTGGCGCGACCTCTAAACCTTCATCAATCTTTACCAATTTTTGCACAGGTTCATATTTTGGGGCTATGAATCGAACTGGAGGGTGGCCCATCAGAAATTCATCACTTTTTTCAGAATGAAGCACCCTATTGTGCAATTACAGCCGGTGAGAACTACTTATTTGAAGCAACTTTATATAGTAGTAAAATTATGTTTATGTCTATTGATTATGATAGTACATTGATTTAACATTTCAATTGATTAGCGTAACTAGCTCTTCATCTTTGTTTAATTGGATTTTTTAATTTCATATTTGCGTTTTTCAACTAGTTTACAGAATACCCCTTATGATCTGATCTCAGACAGGTGTCTTTGAACCTTTCCAAGATGACCGTTCTTCGCTCTTCTAAAGTCTGAAGACCAGTCAGGACCTCAGAATTTCGCGTACGTGGAGAACTGTTTAGGATCACCCTAATGATCTTGTTCTGGATCATTTGAAGTTTAAGGTGATAGCATTTGGCGCAACTCTCCCAGATTGACATACCGTACTCGATTACGGGAAGATTTTTTTGATTGTAGACAGCAAGCTTATTTTGCAGGGACAGAGTGGATCTCCTGTTGATGAGCGTGCTCCCTGAAAAGCAGCTTGCTGTCGAGTATAAGGGCAAGGTAGACTACCTCTTTGGACCATTCCACCACTGTGCCGTTAAAGTAGATCTTCTTATTATTCTCAGACGTAACAAGTCTGGAAGATTTGGAATGAGGAAATATGTGCCTTCCTGGGTCTTCACCACGTTTATACGGATCTTCCAGCTGTTGAAATAATCAGACAGGACATTCAGTCCTCTCTGAAGTTTGGCGGTCAGAGCTCCGATGACCCTACCCTTATAGACGATGGATGTGTCATCTGCAAACAGGGACAACGATCCACCATCAGGGAACAGATGGGTCCAAGGATACTTCCTTGTGGAACACCCGCACCGATGTTGAAGGCATCCGATGTGATGCCATTCAGAGAGACTCAGAATGTCATGTTCGAGAGATAGTTGTTTTATAATCTTCACAAGAAAGACTGGAAGACCGTATCATTTCAATTTGTAGACCAGGCCATCGTGCCAGACATTATCGAACGCTTTTTCAACGTCCAACAATGCCATGGCAGATATTTTCGATGCATACTTTTTTTTTCTCTCTTTTTGGTGCAGACCTTTCGGTCCATTTCAGCCAAGTCTTGTTTTTGCATTCTGACATCTTTAGTTGTCAATTACCTACGTGAATGAATTGACGATCGAAAGAAATTTGAAAAACCTCTTATTTCAGTAGCGGGAATAGTATGTTGCTCAGCCAAGTTAAGTTTGTAATGTCATTTGTTGTTCCTGTTTATCGTGCGATTTTATTTCAATAAAATATAAATTTAGCTATCTGTTTAATTTGATCAATATTATTTTCAGCCAGGATAGGAATAATATCAGTACATTGAATCAAAATTGGATATTTGTGTCTTATTGCTTGAAATTTGGTGCAATGGTGTAAGACGTGTGGTACTCTGTCTTTAGTAGCAGTATGTCCTGTTCTAATCCTAGAAAGGATTATCGTCAGTTCTGTTGGTAAGTTCATGTTTTTGTACCATGGATCCGATGTAGCATTTTGCTTTATTAGAAAGTGATGTTTTCCTGTATCTTTTGATATGTTTTTGTAATCCTGATTCCATAAACAGTATGTTTCATTTTTAAAGCTTAATTGTAAGTCTCCTTTCGTTAAGTTTAAATCTTCTATTTTGGATCTGTTTGCACCTAATTTTGCTGCTAAGTCAGCCCTATCGTTGCCTAAAAGTCCAATATGCCCCGGAATCCGTTGAATTGTTATTTTTTTCCCTTAGCGAGTTAGTTTTATTAAATATTTCAAATACCAGGTAGTTTTCTTTTGAAGATATATTTTTAGTAACTCTGTAGCACTTTTTGAATCTGTAAATATAACTACCTTTTTTTATATTCTTTTCAATAATATAATCTATAGCTTTGAGTATTGCTGTTAGTTCTGCATTCATGATTGAAAATTGGCATTTTAATCTTCCACTATATGAGGTTTTTTCTTGACTTTCATAAAATCCGTATCCCCTTTTTTTTTCTTCAACTTAGAGCCATCTGTGTATATATGATAGTATTGTGAATATTGTGATCTAATAAAATCAAGAACTATTTGTTTCTGAGTGCTGGTAGAGAGATTTCTTTTCTTAAGATTTTTAATCTCTGACCTAATTGTTAAATGAAAAGTTGATTCAAAAGAAGCAGGTTTCGCTAATTGTAATAAATGAAAATTATTTATGCTTGCCGTTCTTTCTAAGAAAGAGCTGTGTTTAGGTAGGTATATAATCAGAAAGTATGAATTTATAAAGAAAAGGTACTATTGGGCTATTTTCGCAGTAAATGTTTTTAGTAATTTCCTTAAAAGCTAAATATTCTGCTCTTGATTTTAGTGGTAGCCTGTTTCTGCTAGGATTACTTGATTTGAGGTGGATTTTAGATATCTCATAGCTGTTTTAATATATAGATGATGCACTGTTTCTAGTTTGGCGAATGTCGTTTTTGAAGTTCCTGCTGAAATGGTTATTCCGTAATTTGGATGTGGTTGTACTATAGCCTTGGCTATTCTGAGAGCAATTTCTGGGTGTGCTCCATTTTTTTCTTTTTGCTATCAGTTTTAGAATATAAATTTTCCGTTTTGCTTTAGATGCAGTTAATTCAATGTGTTTATTATAGTTTAGTTTATGGTCTATATAAATTCCTAAAAAATTGTGAAATTGTTTTATTTCTAAGGGATGATTATTAATTAAAATATTTGTGGAAGGATGAAATTTATGAGTAAAGATTACTGTGGCACATTTATCTGGATTGATTACCATTTCTAAATCATTAAGAAATGAGACTGCTTGTATTAGGAAATCGTTCATTATTTCAGTTGCTTGTGTTGATGTTTTTGCTAAAGCTATTGCTGTGAAATCATCTGCAAATTGATAAAAAATTCTATCGCTTTTTGAAAGGCTATGTAAACCCATTGTATAAATACTGAAAAGAACTGGAGATAATGGACATCTTTGAGGTAGACCTTTATTAACAAATCTTGTTATTTTAGTTCCATTTGCTATT